ACAACTGAAGAGTCTGGCACCATCCCCTTGGCACCCATCTTTGAGATATTTATATGCATTGATAAGATACATACACTCCTGGTGACTTGCCCTCTTCCTCTTCCTCCTCCTCCTCCTCCTGCTTTACTGCTCCAGACAGTCCTTGTGGTACTTATGTACTTCAAACCCAGAGGCTTTCATTTTAAGGCCAAACTCTTTGTTAAAAGTATCATCCCCAGAAAAAATACTCTTTTTGAATTATCATCACCCACAGCCAGCTTTGGCATGCAGGCAAAGATCTCTTTACTCTTTCTGAAGCTGTTAAGAATGGCTTTTTCCTTAATGGTTTTAGTTTCCTGCATCACCCCCCACCTAAATCAGAAGTTACCAAGTGCTGGAAAGCTGTTTGCTCCTTATCTTCTTTTCTGCTCGCCTCAGGTACTCACTCCACCTCAGCCAGCCAATATCGGGGAGGCTCAGCAGCTGAAAGTTAATGGCTCAAGTCCTTGTCCTTACATTGTGAGAGAGGTGGATGCTGTTCACCAGCACTCTTCAGAGATACCACTGAAGCAGGCTCTGTATGTGTCATTCCACATCTTGAGATGCTAAAGTATGATAAGCTTTTATCTGAAGTTTTCTCTTTTTGCCTTGGAGCAATTACTGATCTCAGCTCACAGATTCTTCTTAATTCTGGGGGGGAGTTCACATTCACTTTGAATCATTGCCTCACAGTACCTCTTGGGCTTTTTCCAGGACGGTGGTTAGGACAATAACATGCATAAATACTAAGCTGGGGTGGGATTTGCATTAAGAAATCACTTTAGGTAGATCTATCCCTTTCCCTGAAGCATGGGTGAAATGTCTGTACATCCACAAACAGCTGAGCAGTATGTCAAGAAGCATAGGGGACCCACAGCAGTGCTGTTATACTCACTCAGAGGTGGTAAATCAGCTCATAAATTTGAAAATACTAGGCCAGAAAACCTCACAGCAGCGATGATGAGCAGAGATAGAGCAGGAAAAGGATGTGACAGGGAGTGCAACAGTATTTCTTGGTAACCTCAGACTGATGGCACAACTCCGATTTCCAGGAAGGTGATCTATTTTAACCTTCAGGCCCAGCAATTGCTCTGATCATGCACCTTGGCCTTCCTGCTCAGCGCAGGACATGAAAACATGTCTGGTGACCCCTGGAGAAAAAAAACAGTATCATGTGTCTGAGCTACACTCCCTTCTCCTAAGAGACGTTTGAGATATCTTTTTGAAGTCTCTGAACTGTGGAGAAACCACCCCATTAGCTGCTCCCAAGCTAAATACCCTCTGTGTCAGGAACATGCAGCTAATTTCTGGTTTGAATGGATCTCGCCCCAAATTCCAGTCACCAAAAGTCATTACTCTTCCATCTGTTGACAAGGACAGCTTTCCAGCTGGTGCCCTCCTTGGAAAAAGTGCTGGCTGGCTGAGTGGCCACCCTCTAGTGTCTTCACTCAGCTAAGTGAAGCTTTTTTAGCCTCTTGCTCTAGGTGAAAGTTTTCCAAGCCTTAGGAAATCTCATCTTCATGACCTTCCTTGAGGTTCTCCACCTTTTTTTTTATTTTTTTAATGCTAATCTGAAGGTCTCCAAGAAGTTTCAAATACTCTCAGGAGGATTTGTCCATACAGGTTAGCCCATGCGTGGATTTTAAGAGCATTTTAACATAGGCAGTTGCTGCTCCTCTTACTTTTTGTCAGATCAGTTTGTTTATTTACAACTGGTTTTGTTTCCAGACACAAGAGGTAAATATCTAATTGAGCATTTTTACCTCTTCTGTACCATTGTTGGCGATTGAAGCCAACCATCCGTGTCTAGTAACAGTTCTGTACCATGCCTACAAATTCCACTGTTCCTAATATTCTTATTGGTCTTATCCCATTGTCCTTAAATTTTTTACTTTTAGCTACCCATGTCAGTTTGGATGAACAGTTAATTCATGGTTAATAAATTTTTCCCCTTTCCATCAAATACATTGGCTCAAGCAGGAGGGAGGCTTAATGAGTGACATCCCCCAGACCCAAATGGGGCTGCTTCACAGTCAACACTCAGCATACCTCTAACGAACATCTCCTCATTGCCCCCAGATGGACAAAACTAGGCAGCACCTGCTGCAGGAGCCCTGGGAAAGTTCTTCAAGCTGTGAAGCTTCGTCCAGTCCCTCTCACATGCTCCTAAATGTGCGCACACACACACCCACACCCACACCCACACCGTAGCCTCTGTGTTACACAGGCGTGTACAAACTCTGCAGATACTCCCATTCTTCTATGCAGTTTAGCCAGGAGTCCAAGGTTTCTTTGGGAAAGGGTTTTTTTGCTATGTTTTGGGGTTGTTTTCCCTTCTTTCAGTTTCTAATTGAAGGTGTATTGCCTTCTTCCTTCCCTTTCTCTGTCAGCCTTTTAGCCCTGCAGAATGACGAGGCAGTGCTGGTCCTGTGCTATGCAGTGCTGGAGGGAAACTGTCTCTCATCAATGCTTGCCATGGCCTGGAAGGAGATGGAAAAAAGAGTCTTTGGGTTCGGAGACTCGGTAAAGACCTTGATGTCCACCTTTGACCCCCATGGTGTGCAGGGCTCCCTGTCATTTTGGGTGTCACCTCCCAAGAGAAGCTGACCTGGGTGACCAGGGAGGCAAGCTCCAAGCCAGGGATGTGGGAGCTCCTCAGTCTCCTCTTTTGGGAGCTTCTTAGTCTCCTTTTCCCCCCTGACCATCCACCTTAGGTGTGTGACAACCTTGGGCGGCATCACATGGACCTGTGCCCTGACTGTGCTTTCTGCTCGCTGAAGATGGAGCAGTGTCAGAACACCAAAACCCTGAGCCGTGTTCACTGCGACACAGGTGACTTCTTCACCTACATCAACCCTCAGATCTCAGCCCAGCACCAGGATGCAGAAAAGCAGGTACCAAGTGAGCTGTATGCCCTGCTGGTCTCTGAGGAGGAGCCTGGACTGGGAGGTGGGGAAGGGAAGAAAGAAGCATGTCTCACTTTATCCCGCTCCTTTGCAGACCAGATTCTCAGATACTCTGGAGGAATATGACATGGACTTTTTCAGAGGGCTGAGGTCAGAGTACTGGTGCAGTCGGATGGCCACCCATGGCTGCCAGGACCCAAGTGTGATCCTCTGGCTGGAGGCAGAGTACGCTGCCTTCCAAGACGGAGGTACACCGAACAAGGTGGGTGACCATCAGTAGATGTTCCCATCTCTCCTTCTCTTCTTCTTTCTCTGACCTTCATTCCCATCTCCCCAGGTCTGTGACTCCAGTGGAGTTCAGCACCCCAGCTACTGCATGTTCAAGAGCCACCAGTGCCTCCAGAAGAGCATCCACAACCAGCGGGTGAGAAGCAGCTGCACTGCCTTTTGCACAGCCTGCTCCTCCATGGCTGAGCCCTCCATAGCCAGCCTTGAGTCCCTGTGGAACTCCCTGGCACCCTACTTGTCCTTCCAGGAGGACAGAATTGAATGTGTTTGAGGGGGTGATAAATAGTGAGCCAAACGTAACTGGCGTGTCATAGGTGGGTGGGATTTGCACAGACACTGTAAGGGATGGAAGCAGAGGCAGATATAATGTGGAGAAAAAGAAGCTGTGGGAAGCCTCCCATCCATCAGGGTATCCCTGTAGGGGAGGATCTCTCCCATCTACTGGTTGCTTCCTAGGTGGTAACAAAACCCAGAATCGCCATAGCAGGACAGAGCACTAGCCTATATCTTAGGAAACACACAGCTCAGCTATTAGCTGAACGGCTTTCCAGCTGGTTCTCCCCCTTCCCCTCTGGTGCTCCCATCATGCCAGCCTCCAAATGTTGTCCAGCATGGAGATCCTCTTTCCTTGTGGAAAGGATGGGCAGTGGCACCCTTCCTATGAACTCAGGTTCTCCTTGCAGGTGACCCGCGTTGAATGCAAGAGCAACGAGACCTACCGGGTGCTGAGTGCGAAGGAGGGAGAAGAGGAGGTGCAGCAGTGGCATGAGAGGTTCTTCAGCCTTGCCAAGCAGCAGTCAGAAAATCATTAAAGTTTGAAAAGACCTTCAAGATAATCAAGTTCAACCTTTGACCAAGTACCACCATGCCCACTAAACCATATCGTGTAGTGCCATGTCTACTTGTTTTTTGAACTCTTCCAAGGATGGTGATTCCACCACTTCCTTGGGGAGCCTGTTCCAATGCCTGACCACCCTTTCAGTGCAGAAATCTTTCCCAATATCCAATCTGAACCTTCCCTGTTGCAACCTGAGGCCATTTCCTCTTGTCCTATCACTTGTTGCCTGGGAGAAGAGACCAATCCCCACTTTGCTACAGCCTCTTTCAAGTAGCTGTAGAGAGCAGTAAGGTTTCCTCAGTGCCTCCTTTTCTCCAAGCTAAACAACCACAGCTCCCTCAGCCACTCCAGATCCTTCACAGGCTTCGTTGCCCTTCTCTGGACATGCTCCAGCACCTCAATGTCTTTCTTGTAGTGAGGGGCCCAGAACTGGACACAGCATTCAAGGTGTGGCCCCTCCAGTGGTGAGTACAGAGGGACAATCACTTCCATGGTTCTGCTGGCCATGCAATTTCTGATAAAAGCCAGGATGCCACTGGCCTCCTTGGCCACCTGGGCACACTGCTGGCTCATGTTCAGCTGCTGTTGACCTGCACACCCAGGTCCTTTTCTGCTGGACAGCTTTCCAGCCACTCTTTCTCAAGCTTGTAGCACTGCATGGGGTTGTTGTGTACCCAAGTGCAGGACCTGACACTTGGCCTTGTTGAACCTCTTAGAATTGGCCTCTGTCCATCAGTCCAGCCTGTCCAGATCCCTCAGCGGAACCTTCCTACCCTCCAGCAGACCAACACTCCCACCTAACTTGGTGGAGTGAACTTATTGAGGGTACCCTCGTCCAAATCATTGATAAAGATACTAAACAGGACTGGCACCAACACTGAGCCCTGGGGAACCCCAGTAGTGGCTGGCTGCCAGCTGGATGTAACTCCATTCACCACCACTCTCTGGGCTCAGCCATCCAGCCAGTTTTTAACCCAGGAAAGAGTGCACCCGTCCAAACCATGGGCTGCCAGCTCCTCCAGAAGAATGCTGTGGGAAACTGTGTCAAAAGCTTTACTAAAGTCCGGGTAGACAACATCCACAGCCTTTTCCTCATCCACTGCGAGGGTCACCTGGTTATAAAAGGACATCAGGTTGTTCAAGCAGGACCTGCCTTTTGTAAATCCACGTTGCCTGGGCCTGATCCCCCCGTTGTCCTGCACATGCCCTATGATTGCACTCAAGGTAATCTCTTCCATAACCTTCTCCGGCACTGAGGTCAGACTGAATGAGGGGAGCCTCACTGTGGCAGCTGCTGGAACTCCTCTTGGAAACATTTTCTCCAGCCAAAGGAACAGATGAGCACTGGAAAAGGCATTTCTTGCATCCTTCCCCTGTACATAGCTCCCTGTACCAGTCCTCCAAAGGATGAGTCTTATTTTATAAAGAGCCTGTTTGATTATACAAAATTCATTTGTTCCCTTCTTTCTAATGCCACTGCTCTATTACACTCCCCAGTGACCCCTCTTTTGCTCAAGGTGGATCCTCATGCCATCCGGATCCACAGTCATGTTCCTTTCTTATGCAGCCCATGTGTCCCCTGAGCAGAAGGACTCAGCATGGCCTTGTTCCCTCCCGAGACACAGGAGGGAGCAAAACCAGGGACCCTCCAGGTCCCAAATGCAGCATGTGAGGAAGAAGCTTTTGTGTGCACTTTGCTTTCCATTGCAGCTGGTTTATTTCTGAAGTTTAGGGGTTTATTTGGCTTGTGTCCTCCAACCCTCCACCCAGAAAATTAATTCAAACCACAGAAAGCCCACTGAGGCTGGTGGGAGGGTGCTGTGTGGGGAGCACTCAGGAGCTGGTGACACCCCTGGACATCTCCCTGGGCTGGCCTCTCCCTGTGACCTTGCAGTCACTTGGCAGCCTCTTGCTGCCCTAGCATGCTCCCCCTCAGCGGCATCGGTGCACCTCCCCGAGGTGCCGGCACTGCTTGCACTTGACGGAGCAGCACCAGCAGAACTTGCAGCTGGTCTTTTTAAGCCAGGTCAATACAAAGAGAAGAAGATCCACTCTGTGGGCAACAAGCTGGCTTGGGTCTGTAAGAGAAATCCCTGAGGCAGGGAAAGGGATGGGGACCTGCTCTGGTCTGTAGGGCTCTGGGAGGGGAACAGATCTGCCCAGAGACAGAGGATGTTCAAGGGACCAGATCTGACTGTGACCCCTGGATAAGATGGTGCCTTTGTTGAGGATGGGCTGGACGGGCAGGGAAGCTCTTCAGAGCAGAACAGAGTAACTAATTTCCTTTGCAGAAAAGGCCAAGGAAGGTTAATCACAACTGGGCTCTGTAAGGAAAAGGAGATTGCACAGAAGCAGGTAGGGGAGGCTGGGGCCCCCCTCCACCAGTTCTGGGCTAAGAAAGCAGCAGGATGCAAACTCCTCAAACTGTTTCTTGGGGTATGGGGGCTGGACTGAGCTCTATCTAGCCAGAAGGAAACCCCAGAAGCCAGGCTTGCTTCCTAGCCCTTGTTCCTGCTGTTACCTTCCTCCCAGCCTCATTGTTGTGCAGGTTCATGAGTGCTTGGCCGGAGGAGACACCATGGCTCCTCTCTGGGTTGCCCACGAAGGCTTGAGAGAAGGCAATTCCATAAAACAGGTTATCGGAGCAGCCCGACCACTGGAAACCTGCTGAGAGAAAGCAGCCATGAGATGAAGGAGAATCTCTGAGAGGATCTCCCAAAGGGTTGTGGAGAAGGGGTATGTCTCCATCCCTGGAGACAGTCTCTCCCATAGATCTTTCCCTCTGCCACCCCCTTCCTGCCACAGTCTTCTCCTTCACCTTCAGGGCTGGCTCCTCGGATCTTGCAGTTGCAGCCACACTTCTCCAGCTCCCCGTGGCTGCAGGCACAGGTCACAGCAAAAGCAATGCCAGCAGCAGAGATGGCGTGGATGAAACCAGCCTCCCATGTGCCTGCAGCAGGGCAAGAAACGGTACCAGTCTGCGGGGGGCAAAGGCACTGATGGGACGTGGTGAGGGAAAAGAGGTTGTGACTGCACAGAGAAAAGATGCATTCAGATGGAGACTGCTTGGGAGAAATAGATGGCAGGATGTTCACCTGGTGCAGCTGTTCCCAAGGCCAGGAGCCAGTAATGGAGGTGGCTCTGTGTCAGGGCTGGTGGTAGGGTGAGGGAGAAGATCCACCAATCTGCATAGGTGGTACCCAGAATGGTCCAGATGGGACCAAAATGCCAAATCTGGCCAAATGGGCAATAAGTTTAAGCAGAATGTTAGTATGTGTGAAAGCACATGCATTTGGTTCAGTTTACTCTCTGTTGACAGACATGTTGGAATGTGGAGGAAGGCGCTGGCCACTCTGGGGATGGGACCAGTGTGCCCCTTGCACCCTAGCCCAGGAAAGGCTGATGTGTCAAGGGGACCCTATAGGCATACCAGAGGGACCCCATGCCAACCTTGTCTGTGTCACCTCCCCCTCTCTGACCTTGGACGGCCACTTTGCCAAAGACCTGCAGCCCCTGCAGGGTGGAGCAGTTCCAGCAGCGAGAGTGAAACTGGTGTTGGCACTCCTGGACAGCCAGCTCGGCACCTTGCTTCACTGCATCCATGGCTTCCACCTGCCGCTGGCAAATGCGGATCTGCTCTTCTACCAACCCCATCAGACCATCACAGCCCCTGGGGTCCCTGAGGGACACCTGCAGGGAGGTCTGCTTGGCCAGGTACCTGCAGGGCAGGGGAGAGATTCAGTTTCAGATATGCCAGAGCCAGGGCCATATCTCTTCAGGACTAGCCCTCTGTAGACTTATTTTAGAGTTGTTGCAGGGAAGGGGAGGTGTCTCATCTTGTCTGTGCTGAATTGGACATTCCTCTTCCCCATCCTGGTCTGCACCTCTTCAGCTTTACCATTCTCCTCTGTCCATGCTCCCAGAGATGCCCCTTCTAATGTGCTGTCTTTTAGTTGCCCAAATTCCTTCTTCTACCCTTCTATCACCCCATTTTCTTTGAAGACAGCACCTGCCCAGATGACTTTCCAACCCAGACAGTACAAAGCATACTTACAGCCAGGTCACGGCAGCGACGCACTGCACGGGGATCAGCACTGCATGCAGGCACACCATCTCCATCCTGTCCATGGCAAAACTCCACCACCTTCAGTCACGGTGCAACAGCCACCTGAATCGCCTCCTGTGGCTTCCCACGGCCTCTGCCTGATAGTCACTTTCCCAGCAGCTGCAGCCCAGCACTGCAAAGCAGGGGCAGCCCCTGACCATGGGCTGCCCTGGTGTGCCTGCCAGCATCGGAAACCCAGCAGCCTGCAGAAATCTGCTGGGTTGGCCCTGAGAGGTTGTCCTCACCAGTGCTGTTCTGTACTTACAGCTTGGGCAGCGTGGTGGGAGAGTTGTGACCTGGGGCTTCAGGGTGGGCATTCGCCACAGGGAGCTCACATTGATGGGGAGAGGATCAGTGTCAGACCCTTGGCCTCTGCCATCCTGTCAGCAGGTGATGTCGTTGTCTTTCTCCACAGTCCAGTCACTTCATCAGCAGGAAGCAGCCCAAGATCCAGTCAGCTGCAGATGAAGCCTTCCACACGAGAAGAACCAGGCAGCATCAAGCAACTATATCTAGACCCATCAGCTCATCACTGCTTTTGAGAGACAGAGAGTTTCCCTGTAGTGACAGCTCTTGGGATTAGAGACAGGAAGACCTACTACCTTCCTCATCCTCAGCTGCTGTTCTTGAGGACACTCTCTCATCTGCCTCCTCCAGGCTGGAGATTCTTCTTTTATACCCTGCAGCCAAGCTGCTCCCTGGCTCTCTTACTCTTTCCCTGGCAGGTCTCCCTTCACCCTGCTCATTTTCTTCCCCAAGGACAGTCCTTGCCCTTCTTCTAGGAGGCATAATGGGCTGGCTGCCCTTCTTCTTAGCAGGTAGTTCTTTCCTAAGATCCCCTGGAAGCCCAGGAAAATATGATTTGTGTGACCAGGGAGCTGAAATATCCTGGGACAAAAGCCTGCCATTCCCCCAGGCAGCCTGGGAAGTGCCAGCTGTCTCCACACTGGCACTCCTCAGACAGCCCACAGATTTTTGCTTTTCCTGTCTGAATCATTCAGAAAGTGAAGCAGGGCTGCTCTGGCCCTGCTGTGGTTCTTCCATAAAGGGATTCACCTCTTTACTGTGCTTTTCCACATTTTCCCGTACAAAGGAGTCTGAAGAGCACTGAGGTTTACCAGTCATCCTTTCAAACCTGAGCAGCCCCTCTCCTTTAGCATGAATTCCACCTCTTTCCTTGCCTTCCCAGCTTCCTGCATCCCTCCTTCCGTTGGGTCCTTGCTCCTGGTTTCTGGAGTCAGCACTCCGGGGCGGTAGGCATGTTGGGATCTGCAGCATCAGGGTGTAGCCTCCAACACACACCCCAGTAATCTGGTCTTACCTGCTGCTCACTCAGCAGTGAGGAAACACCGGGGGTTGTGCTGCTCTTCCCCACAAGCTGAGCCTCCAAGAGACAGCGAGGGGAAGAGGTGTGAGCCCACCTGGGCGAGGGGAGACAGAGTTCGTGGGCTGATGCAGCAAGACGCAGTGAGGTGAGTGAACCCAGCTTGGTGAGGGGTGCTGTGGGCCTCGTGGGCTCACTGGCTCACGGACTGGGCTAAGCGCTACTGTGTCGTCCTCTTCTAACACATAGAAAAGCCAAGACTACCAGGCTCAGCCAGGTGTGTGCATGTGTGTGTGGGGTGTGAGGGCTGCAGGGGAGGGGGAAGTTCCCACAGAGGGTGTCAAAGACTCCTTCGGCAGAGGACACCCCGCCGGTATATCTGCAAGCCTTTATCAGTGGCGGCACCTTAACGGGAACTAAAGAGACACAAAAAGCTGTGAGAACAAAGATCCCAGTAACTAGGAAGTGAGAGTAGGAGTCTGGTTAAAAAAGAGAGGCACTAAAAAGAGGCAGGGTGAGATCAGTGGTTTGGGAGCTATTGTACCCTCTGAGGATTTATGAGCAGAAGGAACATATACCCCTTGGCATGTCACTCCCTGAACGAGGAGTCAGCAACAGCAGGCAGGGAGTGAGAAAGTCAAACACCAGCAGGTGGAGGAGCCAGGCCAAGGGCTGCAGAGGAAGAGGGATCCCACCAGCAAAGCACCTTCTTCTTGGGGCAGCTGTTTCTGGGGAAGGATAATAGTAGGATTAGGAGTATCACTGCTCGTGTCTTCTTCCAGGTGTGCTGAGACTGGCAAAGCAGAAATAGGACTTGAAGTAACAGTTCCCTTCCCAGCTACACATGGCAGTGCCAGGTCACAGATCTCCTGGTAAATCAGCCCTTTTACTTTCTTAGCACTGTGCCTTCTGTAGCCTCAAACATCAGGGACTGACATTTGTGGCAAACATGCCTTTGCTTGCCAAGGGCACTGACATCTCTTCAGAGCTCAGTTCTTTCTGGGACCTTGCCACATGCCAGCAGTGCACAGCTGGGCCCCCAGGCAGGACTTCAACCCCAAAGCACCCAAGCCCATGAGAGTGACAGGATTCCAAGTCTTTGTCTAGCTAGCAATTAATCAACTTTGCTCTCACTTCCCGTATTTCACCTCTACCCCCTGTTTAGAAATATTTGGGGGAAGGGGATATTTTAATTTTCCCTTGTCAGTCCTGAGGGCAGCTGAGTTAGCAAGATAAGCAAGGATTTGGCACTATGACCCAGGGCAGGTCTCCTCAGTTGCAATGACACCTGGGTGCTGCTTCTTTCATGACTACATTTGCTGTTATAGGATGTGGTTTAGCTTATCAGCTATGGATAGCAAAGTTCATGCTTTGTGGCCAGGCAGAAGTGCATCAGGAAGTGAAAAAGGAGAAGAAGCAAACTGCAGCGTGATGTAGAATCAGCCATAGCATTGTAGGGGGTAGCTGTGATTTGGATGAATAAAAAGCCAAAGAGCCTGCCTGGTTCTGTTTTGATTCAAGCTGCTTGCAGGTTTGGTGCCTGGATTGAGACCTCAGCAGTGGCAGCGACCACCAGCCAGCGAGCTCGTGTGCACCCTTGGCTCTTCAGCAGCAGAGAGGTAAGCCAGATGGAAACATCTGGGGAGCTGGATGGTCTGGGCACCTTGGGCGCTGGTCCCCATGAGCTGCTGTGCGTGTGCTGCCAGACCTGACCATGTGGCACTGGGGAACATCTGCCCCTCTTCAATTGTCCAGTGGACCTAGAGGCAAATCTCAGTTCAAGTGGAGGCTTTCTTTGGGGATCCTGTGATGCCAAAAGCACTGGCAGCCTGAAGAGCTTACTTATCAAGGTGCCCACAATGGAAGCCCATACGGCCCTCAGAAGATGAAAAGGGGGTGACAACTCTAAGGAATAGCCAACAGTGTGACCAGACCTCATGAGTTAAATACGAAGGTCTCGGTTTTAATATCATATATCTCTCATTAAGAACAAGGCATCCTAAGTCTTTAATGTCTTTGAGGTTTTAATCTTCACACTAATCTAATTGCTTGGGTAGAAAAAAGGCAAAAATCGGGGATTAGATGTCACTGACAACAGGTAAAAAGCATCCGTGTTTATGAAAAAAAAATATACCTTCAATTTCTAGAGCAAAGCTGAGTGGGGTTTTTTTTAGGTTTGGCAAGCTCTTTGTTATTTCCTCTTTGTTTTCAGACTTACTAAGCGACCTCACGCAGTTTGCGTTTCCAGCTCTGCACCCCAATGCCACATTTGCTGTCTGCATCCCCACGGCAGCCACAAGGCTCCCATGGGTTCAATGACAGTCACTGTCAGAAACACTGACCCTGCAGCATGCTCAGCAATATATTTCTAGCTTTTTTTTTCCCACCCCAATTCTCAGCCCCATACTCAGATTCTTCATATTTTTTGTGGTGCTAGGAGGCAGTGACTGCTAGTGAGATAGTGTCAGGAGAGAGGATTCCCAGGACCAGGAAGCAAGACACCAGGCATACATCCCATCTTGAGGCATGCCTGCCCGTTCTGGCCCCTGTCTGCAAGCACATCTAGGGTTTCTCACCCTGCAAAAGAAAAAATTAAGATCCCTTTGGGTTTTGCAAGTCACGGTCTCAGCAGATGATGGTATTCAGGGACTGCTATTGAAGAGGCAAAAGGATGCTTCCTCCACCTCTTGGGACCCATAAGGTCAATCACCAAACACAAAGTTCCTTCAGGATTTAAAGACAGCTTCTTGTTGTGAGGAGGAAGATTATTCAGCTGTGGTACCATTGCCTTCTTACACAGCTGATGGCTTGATGGCAGCTTTTGTGCAGGGCAATGAGTACTTGAGGTTCTTTTAGAGGCAGCCACAAAGAACATGCCCTTTGCCTCTCAGACCTTAACCAAGGATATTCCAAACAATTTCAGCTATTCTGTTCCCCTGCTGTCAGCCTGCTTGAGCTACCCATACCTTTCTTTTTCAGTGAGGAACAGTCAAAACAGTACCTCCAGAGCTCATCAGAGAAACGCTCTGGTCCCACAGTTTCATCGTTCCAATGACTCTGCCTGCATACATTTCATTTCAGGTGTCTGAGGTCTTGATCATAGTATCTGTTATGGCAAGTTTGAAACTATCAGCTTAGTTTCAGAAACATCACCGTAGCATATTCTTTCTTCTGTGTTTCCATCTACCCACAAAAAAATATCCCCTCAAAACCCCCAATCTATTTTCTGCTCTCAGTGATCTTTGCTGCTAATTTAGAACTCTGCTGTTTAGTGTCTTAAAGGCTGAAGGGCTAGAGTATGTAAGGAAAGACCTCTTAAAAAAGAAAGAAAAGGTGATGGTGGGCAAAAAAAATGGACAGGTTTCTTTCACTGGTGTTCATGACACAAAAGCCTGGGAGATTTTTGCAGCAAAAACTCTCTTTACAGGAAAATTCATCAAAGGACTGTCTCTGATCAAAACAGCAGTAGGAACAGCTATGGAGAAAGATGTACTAAGCAGTGTCTAAAACCATGTGGCTCCTACCCCAGAGGTCTGAAAACAACTGGAGGGTGGAAGACCTGACTAACTGTGGTGTAGAAACATTTGCTTAAAACTGTTTTTAAAGGCTCACTAGCAGACTCAATTTGAGAAAAGGCTCTTGGGGGTTTCTGGCCAGGCAGCTTGATGTTTTTGCTGAACAAATTAGTAG